AGCCTAAGATCTCGTCTGTTACCGTCTCTGTCGATCTTCTTCGCTCCTATGCGGACAACTGGGAAGAGTTTCATCGTGGCGACAGCGAGCCTGATTGGGACAACGACCCTTCCCGTGTGATCTGGGGTCTCCTCCCAGGCTTTGAATCCACGGGAGTGCGTCTGTTGAAGTGTTGCGGGGAAGAGCGGCCGAATGTGTTCTCCAGCCTACGAGTCAGAGCTTCTGGCAAATTCCTCACCATACACGACTATGTCTCGCAATTACATCCTTGGCTGATGGAGAGGCGACAGGATCTTTTGGGAGCATTGACAATATTAAATGGCGGCACTGCCGTGCCAGCCGAGACAGAGCTGATGGTAGCCTTTTTCGGACCAAACACATTGATTGTGCAGAAGAAGGATGAATGGGTATCTTTCATGAAGCAACCCCGCGTAATACCGCCGGTTCCGTCACCAGAGGCGTTAGAGGAAAGGAACCGGTTAATTCGCGAGTTTCTCGAGAGCCATAGGCCGGGTATTGAGTGATGCTAGGACGGTAGCTGCATGTGCGAGAGCGAACATTTACGATAGAGTCTCCTTCGTCTCTGGTCGCTCGGTACCCGTAGACGATCAGAATTTGTAAACGAAAACGAGTGTCGCATTTGATATAGGATGTGTAGGAATGTATAATCTATGTCTTTTGAAAGTGTATTAGATGGGATGGATAGAATATTTGACCGGAATAATTGATCTAAAATGTCATGATACCCAGACAATTTGAGATTCAAGCATAAGCCTTGTGACTCCGTACGGCGATGTAATCTAAATAATTATGACGTGCAACTACTTTGACTCCCAACAACCTGCAGAGAAATAAGGCGAATGCTTACAATGCGAGAAATGTCATGAGAGATCAGATGCAAATTGATGTCAGGGTCTACTCGGTAGAAAGCGCCACAAACATGCGCGTCTCGAAAGACCATGGGTAACTGGCATTCCCCAATGGGTTTAGTCATGAATTTAAAGATGAAAGTGGCATTTGAGCGCCTTAAAAGCGGCTAGCACTGCTGACTAAGAAGTCGCTTGAGTTTCGTCTCAGGATACCATGAAATTAATCCGACTAAGACAGCAAGGTAAGGTCATCCCCGAAATCCTTCGGCAACTCAGGCCCCCACACTGAGATAGGTCCAGCTACCTCTCTGCGAGTAGGAGTATGTTTGTTGACCACATCGCCGTCTGCATAGTGCTCAATCTTGAAGCCGCTAGGGTCTGCCCAATAGTCAAATATCTGACTTCCCAGAATATGCCTTCCCACCCCCCAGACACTCTTCCAGCCCTTCTTGCCAAGCCATTCGTGACCAATCAATTGCGTGTCAAAGTCGGCCACTTCATAGGAGCTGTGGTGGATATATGTCTTTTTGACCTCTGGAGGAGCACGTTGGAGGAAGAGAATATGATGATCGGAGTATTCCTCTCCAAGGTCCAGATGGATAAAAGCTAGTACGTCCATGTTGGAAAATTGTGGGTGGAATAGAATATCGGATGGGACAAAGTTGAAGTTGGATGTATAGAACTCGAGCTCCTCGTCGAATTCCTTACACACGTATCCAAAATGTCCAAGCTTGTGCACAAGAGCTGGGCCACCATGATACCGCTGGAACTGGCCTAGGGCAAAGAATTAGCAAGGAGACAGGATATAGACATGAAATACTTGTGAAAATTCTGACCTAATCTTGGCTTCTCGAACGGGGTATTGTACGGGCCCTGGGACTCGTGGGTCTCAGAAGGAGCTTGTTGGGTATCGACAGCACGTTCTTCTTGGCCATAGATGACGAAGAGAAATGTGCCGTTTGGACGGGCAAATGTGATGACCTTCCCCCCACCGGGTCCGTCAAGGTCAGCTTGTTTAGATGCCCCAGAAACTTTGGCTGCTTTCTGGAACTCTTCTTCAGATGCAGCGACGAAAGCTGCACCGCCAAAATTTGGCTTCCCATTTTTACTCTTCTTAGCTACATAGACGTATTGATCTTTTCCATAGCCGCGGAAGTAGATGAGGTCCTTTGACCGGGATGCTTCCACGAAGCCGAAGTCTTTTGCAAATTTGGCAAACTTCTCCAGGTCAGGATGTTCAAAGTAAACGTGCGATAATCTGCAAAGTTGCACTTTGGAAGAGTTGTTGAAGATGGGTGGGATAAGCATGTCAGGCATGATACGTTCTCGGATTGGTCTTGGGAGGTGTGTGAGGATAGAAAGAAAGACGGACATGATGGAATAGGCGCCTATAATTTGACAAGCGAGCCTAGTTTCTAAGAAGAACAGAAGTAACCTACTATAATAATTGCGTTTTATGTGGACTTGGGCCCCATCCTTCCGGTTCCCGTGGCAAACTTGGAGGATTGAGGGTGGCTTCCGACTGTCCGGGGTCGTGGGGTAGGGATGCTCCTCGGAGTATTTGGATGGCCTCATGTCGACCACAAGCTAGTCCCCAGCTTTGCCCCACAAGGGCGCGGCACAAACTTCGGAAGCAGCACACGAGGGCTCAGAGACGTTCTAGCTCGATCAGGTCATCTGAAAAGGACTACATCAATGATGCAACGGGTGCCCAAAATCGTCGTTCTTTCCTTCGTCTCTCCGCGACGCAAGGCTTCTTTTTGTCATTATCATGGCGCAAACTCCAGTTCTCATAGTTGGCGCAGGGCCATCCGGTTTAGCTCTTGGACTTTCACTGGCAAAACACGGTGTCACTGTAAGACTGTTTGCCTGGTCTGGCGAACTACCCGAACTAATCCATACTAGTCCACAATCCTCGAAAGAGAACGAGGAATCACAGAAGACCCCAGAGGTGTCTATTTGGCCGGCGATGCTAATCGCATTGTGGAAGATTTAGGGGTAAGCCGTAATCAGATGGAGATCATTGGCCACGGTAAGTGATGGCAAACGACACCCTAAGCCACGCGTATGCTAAGTGCTATGAAAGAGGTCGAGAAAGTGCTGTTCCACAAGACGAGTTTCAAAAATATACCCTTCTTCTCGCTCGACACCTCAAGGGATATATTACACCAAGTTATTCCTGGGGGCGTACTACAAATCCAACCAAAACTCGGTTTGTCATTATCTCGGATTGACTAAAGACCGTGATGTTTCTAATAAAGCGTTTAGAGGATGCCCTCCGACGGCTAATTACATCGTCCACATCCTGCGACCTCAGAGAAGGCTGTGAAGTCACGGGTCGTCAAGAATTAGAAGACAGCATTAGGGTGGATTATACTGACTCTGAGGGCAAGCCCAGTCAGATCAACTGTCAGTGGCTCATTGGGGCAGATGGGAAAACGGGCATTGTCCGGAAACATTTCCTCGAACCCACTGCAGGTGTTAAGCAGGAAACGGGCCTCTTCTCGTACGAAGGCACCTGGGTAGCCGCGAACCTAAAGATACATCCACCTACTCCCGAAACGCACCCTGACTTCCCTCTCTGGAACTTGGGTTTCACCCCTGACAGAGTATACAATCTGTACTGGCCGAAGCACTGGCATTTCTGCAGCCCACCAGGATCTCCCACTGCTTGCGGTCGCTTCGGACCCCATGAAGATAGGATATGGCGCCACGAGATCGCTGTTCCAAACTGGGATGACTCCATGGATGCCGAGCATGCCCTTCTTCAACACCTATTGCCGATGGTAACTAGGAGTGCTGACGAAAGTGGGAATACATTCTCCGGTGGCCCCGTTCCATTTCCAAAGGAATGTATTGAGGTTCTCCGTTGTAGACCTTTCACCTTCGCCCAGAAAGTTGTCAACAAATGGTTTCATGGCCGTACAGTCTTGATAGGTGACGCGGCACACGTCTTTCCGCCATTCGGCGGCCAGGGCATTGCCTGTGGCATCCGCGATGCTTATGGGTTGTCTTGGCGTCTTGCTATTCTTCTGTCTTTGCCAAAACCGCTTTCCAAGGGACTAGCGGATAGAATGCTAGATGCATGGGCATCCGAAAGAAGACAAGGTGTAGATGACTCTACAAGAATGACCATGATGAATGGTAAAATGTGCAATGAAGAAGATACTCTTGGGATGGCGATGCTTCGCAATATAGTCGAGTTTCTTAGAAAATTGCCAGTCATCGGCAATTTCTTCGACCTGAAGCTTCAACACGACAGCCATGGCTACAAGCCGACCAAGAATGGATTCTACCTATCGGCGTTTGGTGGTGGTGGTAAACTTGCGCAAATTTACGTTCATGCTCCAGGACAAGAAATGTTTCTATCTGATCAGCTTCTGCGACGAAACACAGTGATGACGCTTCTGATAGTTGGAAAGTACGATACAAAGCGGCATGACTCGGTCAAGCAAATCATTCAACGATCAAAGGTCCCCTCATATGTCCTGTCAGAAGCGTCCATTATATTCATTGACACCGAGTCGACCAAATCCGAAAAGACTGTCGGCTTGGTCGACAACTCGAAGAATACCTTTTCGGTTATTTCGAAAGAAGGCGTGGCTGGTAAGAGGTTACGCGAGGGTTATGATGATTCTGTTTATTTCGATCGCTTGGGACGATCAACCAAATTCGCGATTCTCCGTCCGGATAGCATAATATATGCGGCGGTGAAGTCTCTGCCTCAGCTCGAATCCTGCCTTTCATCACTACGGGCTTCGCTCAATCAATGAAGCTGGAAGAATATGCGGGGGTGCGGCGAATGTGGTTCAATAACATTGACTAGAATTCTATATATCGTGCCTAGGCTTCTCTTGCTGTCTATTTAAGCTTTGACCTTGACATCGGAATGATTAGAGTTCTTATCTTGCATCGCAATGTGCCTCAGAGTGACGTCTGTTAGCTATGCCGGATTTGCTCCGACCTCTTCGGTTCCCTGCTCTCATGATATGTTAGTGCGGTACAGGGGGTTTGTTAGCGAGGCAGTCATTACACACAAAAGCAACCCATAAGCACCACGAAGTTGAAGCCCCTTGATTTATATATAACATACTCGCCTATAGATTAGTGTACGCTGGGTAAACACGCCGTTTATTCCTCAAAGACAATCTTGTTCTTCAATGTTCCAAACGCTGGGATCTCGACCTCCACAATATCACCGTCCTTCAATAGTCGGCGAGGATCCTTGAAAACCCCCACACCAGCCGGTGTGCCGGTCATGACCACTGTTCCAGCCGGAATTGTTGTACCTGCCAATTGACAATTAAAACTTCAATGATGAGGCAGTAGGAATTAATGGCTCACCTTGGCTCATCCAGCTCAGTATCTTGGCAGGCTTCCAAATCATATCAGCGCCAATGTCGCCATCTTGCATAACTTCCCCATTCAATCTTGTCAAAAGCTTCACGCCACTCGCACTGTCGAAAGTTTTCGGTGCGACGAGAATTGGTCCAATCGGCGCAAACTTATCAAATGCTTTTGCGAAGAAGTATTGACCACCGGCTTGGTCCGGCATCTGGAATTTGCGACATGAAAGATCGTTGCCTACAGTGTAGCCAAGAATGTTGGCTGAAGCGGCTTCGGGGGTGAGATCACGGCACTGTCGAGAAGTGACGAATACAAGCTCCCCCTGAAACGAATCGTGTCGTCAACCTTGTGAATCTAGAACTGAGAGTCATATTGACAAGAGAATTCATACCTCATAATCCGGGTAACTCGAGGCGCAGAATTTGTTGAATTTGATGTCCTCCTCAGGGTTTGCAAGAGCTGCCGCTGGCTTAGTCCAAAGTGGAGGATTTTGAGGCACTGAAAGCTGTAATATGTCAGCAATTAGGTGTCTGCTGAAATATGATTCTGAAATAGTGTTCTATACCATCGCCTCTGTTGCGTGGGATGTGTAATTTAAACCAACACAGTAAATCGGGATGTCCGTACGAGGAACTGGGGCGAGAATCTAGAACACAATCTAATAAGCGTATGTTTAGAATCGAAGCGCATCTGGTCTTAGTACCTTTCCTACGTTGACAGGCTTCCCGCCCTTTTTAGTTACCAGATCTTCAATAGACTCATAACCGTCCACTTCTGTCCCTTGCCCAGGAATGACCTTACTGTCAGGGCCAAGATCTGCAAAGTAAAATTTGTTGTCTGAAGTGGACTCGAATTTGATCAGAGCATGAAAGGACATCTTCGTGACTCGCTAAGATACCTGTCCTAAGAGCCTGCTGGTTGGTCTATGATGTTATTGAAGTCTCTGGAGGGGCAACAAGTACAGCAATTAAGCTACAGTTTATTTTTGCCAGAATGTTACAATCCAGAGACCGACGCAAGGCCATGGACGAAGGGTTTCGCACATGTACCTACATGATAACCATTCAAAAACGGCTAGCCCGAGGCTGCTGTGTGGGGCATCGGTGAGACTTCCTCCTCGGCGGAACTCGATGCTAAGTCTCTCCGGAACGAAGGAGTTCTCAACCCCACGATGACTTAATGCGTAGAATGTCAAAAGGTAGAAGCGCGAGTAAAGTTGTAGATCTTCAAAACAATGTGATAGTCTCATAGAGTGATGAATTAAAGCTGACAGGTCTTGACTGAAGATTGAGGGAAGTCGGGGTTGGAGGAACAGCTTCGCAATGACTCGTGCAGAGACAGCTAGCCGGAACATCTTAATCAAATACACTGGACAGAGACACAGAGTCTTCAGAGAACCCTAGGCCCCCATCTTTGTAAACACTTTCCTGAGATTGGATCAATACGCAAACAAGATGCATCCTACTCTAATTTGGATGTTGTCCCAAATGGTCGGCATCACGGAGTGCGCTGCTGTCAATGCCCCGTGGGGTACGAACTGGTGGCTGGGACCCAGAACATGTGGCGTCTATAGCGTTCTGTGTTATTTCACCCGCACGATACACTAGCCTCTAACAGCGTTCCGTACATCCCGTGCTCGAGCCGTGGTAGGGACTCGATGCGTTGAAGGTATAGCCCGTTAGCGAGCTTGAGCTCCTGTGTGTTCCCCGCTTGTGGTGCCGCTTTTTTCACTGACCTCCATTGCCACTTTCTTCTGAAGAGTCTCCAACATCTACCTGCCAAATGATGTCTGAAGACACAGATTCCCAACAGATATCCCACCATATTCTCCCTCTCGCAGCTAAATGATGGATATGCTTTTAAATATCGACATGCCTAGTCCCGTCGACATTGCAGGGGTTCAATCAGACTGTGAAACAGACCCAATGACCGCGTCTGTGGACAGCGGTTCCTCCAGCGGTCACCGGCACGCGCCGGATGAACCCCTACGCACTCGGGTCTGTGACCGCTGTATCTTGTCCGTCCTTCTTAACGCAGATGCTATCTATGATGACTATGGCTGACAACGTAGTAGGAAGAAAGTCAAATGTAGGTTCATCGTGGCTTTCTTACTTTTCCCTATGTCTTGACGCAGCTCACGATGGGCTAGGTGACATGAAGCGCCCGACATGCTCTCGCTGCATAGAAAGTGGGTGGAATTGCGTTTATTCCACAGCCAAGAAGAAGCCAGGACCAGCAAGAGGAGCCCGCAGACGCGCCAGTGAGTACTTGACTTTCATTGACACTCAGTCAAGCTCCCCACAGTCGGGGCTAATATCGTTCTTCTTTCTCTCAACCAGCACAATCAGCCAACTCTTCAGTTATACACGGCGGACTCTCCCCAACAGCGATGACAGCGGAGCAAGTCCCTTTTCCACCTTCGGATTCCACATTCCTCGACGCCATATCAGTACTTCACCCTACAGTCACCACCCAGACACCAGGTGACTTCTCACAACCTATATCCTGGCCCACTCCGGCACCGGAGCAGTTGGCCTTCCCCGATCACTGCTTGACTTTTGATCAGGAACATGAACTGTAAGTTCCCTCGATGTTTGTTGGATGGATGCATGATAACACTTCAAAATCAGGTTAGAACACTTTTTCGCTCATATCCATCCCTCGATACCCATGTTCAGTCAAGACAGGCTCTTCCAACAACACTTGTCCGGCACAGTGAATCGTGATTTACTTGGAATTGTTCTTGCTCTCACAGCCAAGGTCTTGGGAAGACCTGACTTCTGGAGCGAGTTGAATCTTGATGCGACGCTGAGATATCATCTTTACGAAAGAGATATTTTCAACTCAGAGAAAGCTACGGGAAGATTGTCTCTTGACGACTTTCGACAAGCCTGCTTGCTTGCATTTTATGAGTTTCACCAGCACCCAGGAGAGAAAGCATGGCTGAGAATAGGGCACCTTACGCGCAAGGCATACCACTATGGGCTTCACCAAATTGATAATCGAACAGCATCGCCTATTTTCGATTCTACAGGTCTTGACGAAGTCGAGTTTGATGAGTGGCGATACGTCTGGTGGTGTATCTTCTGCCTGGATTCGTATTCGAACATCACAGCAGCGATCCCATTTGTCGTTCATGTGGAGAGCATCAGAACTTCTCTGATTACAGGGTCTAGTCTAGACACCAATTCTAAGCGGGAGATATTCTTAGCCGATGAAACAGAGTCTCTTTGGAAAACTACGAAAGCAATCACATCGCACAATCAGCATGTTAACTTCAATATTCATATTGTATCGACAGCTATGCTTCGAGAAGCTGCGACTCTCTATCGATTGTGGTTACAGAACCCTTCGGACCGATTGCAAGCACGCCTTGCAGCTTTCGACTACCACCTTACTACGGTAAGGCTGGCACTACCACCTCGGTACCTGGACGTTACCCGAGACGTTCTGCACGATGAACCCCACCCTGCGCATCATGCTAGGCTGATCTGCATACTCCATCTTCACACTGCTGGTCTTTTGGCTTGTCTACCACTTCACCCAAAACACTCGGAAGAGGAACGATTACGCATATGGTACAAGGCGCTCGAATACTGCCAGGACATAGTTCTGGTAGTCAAGCAATGGGACAGCCAGCACTCGCCCAGCGTTGATCCAGCGGTGTGCTTCATCATATACACGGCCCTGATTATTCTTCACCTGCACATAAACACTTTGGCAGTTACCGAAGACATGCTGATCATCCTAAGAATGCAAAGAGACGTTCTTCTCTTATTCTTGGAGCAGTTCTCTACCTTCTGGTACCTGCCAAGGTTCCTCATCAGTAAGCAATGCAGGAGATTCTAGATGCTCGGTAGGAGAACTGACACTATACTAGATTCATTCAACAAATTTTCTCAGGTGGCTAATGGTGCAGTGCGGCTAGAGGACGTGGACAGTTTGTTGAAGAATTTCCAAGCTCCGCTTCATATCAGCTGGCTGAAGTTCGTAGCATGTGAGCTTGATGGCAACAGTCCTCCTAGCCCGAGGGCATCAGATGTAGCACAGGGATGGAGTCCAAGTAATTGGCAAACGGTCCTCGGCTTTCCTTAGGCTGGAATCACCAGTGTTGTATATAATATGTTCAATGACTAGTAAGATGGGTGTCACATGTCAGGATGGCGAATGGTTGACTTGGTAACACGCTCGCAAGCGGCTATGCCCGTGAGTCTCGCTGATCGGCGTGCAGAGTTCCATTTCTTTTCGGCGCAATCCCAAAGTTCCGTTCCCCGATAATGTCATGAAGCAATTCCCCGACGGTCCACGTAGGCCCGCAATTGCCGGAGCAACCCAACCCGGGCAAAGTACGGCTGCGGAGTAACTCTGGACCAAGTCTTTCCGAATAATCGTCAACTCCGAATTTCTAGGCACGTGTTTCAGCAGATCCTCCGGACTTTGAACACCGGCTCGCCCCCGGAAGCTAGTCGCAGCTTGCATGGTCAGAACTACTAAGTCTTGTCGTACACTAAGCTTGTCCCGAGGCTCCCCACAACTCCTCACCCTCACGGAGGCATACATATTGGTTCCATCTGCGGGGAAATCGTACCATCTATACCACTTCCCAAGAGGTTTGAGGAATTGTGATCTCACTCTCTACCAAATCCCAATATGGCGTCTTGGACTCATCCCAGCCCTCACCTAACGCGTGCTGACGCGTTCAGGAGACAAGTAAATCTCAAGTACGGGCTATCCTTGAGCAATTACGCTCAGCTACACAAATGGTCAGTCGACAGCATTGAAGATTTTGCCCGCGAAACATGGACATTTTGCGGGCTGGTTTACAGCGTCGCGCCGGAGAAAGTTGGCGATGGACTAGATAAGATGTGGCCGAGGCCAACTTGGTTCCCAGGCGCACGACTTAACTACACCGAGAATCTCCTCGCCACTGGTTTGGCAACGCACCCCGATGCAATTGCGGTCTCAGCGTGCCGTGAGGCTAGAACGCAGTGGCGCCATCTTACCTGGACGCAACTGCGTGACGAAGCCGCTCAGTATGCGGCTGGACTACGAAGCCTGGGTGTCAAAGAAGGCGACCGAGTTGCAAGTGCGTCACGCAGATCCTTGTCATTAACTCTCCTTTATCATTTGTGCAGAGAGCTAATTGTGTTTGAATTGTAGCCGTAACCACAAATTCCCTCGAGTCACTTCTCATCCTTCTAGCTTGCGGTAGCATAGGAGCGATCCTTACATGCACAGCTCCAGATATGGGAGCAAAGGGAATTCTTGAGAGATACCTCCAGATCAAGCCCAAAGTCTTGTTTGTGGATGCAGAGATTCTTTACGCGGGCAAGACAATCGACTTGAGAAACAAGCTGAAGACGGTAGTTGCGGAGCTGGTCAAGCAAGTTACAGAGCTTGAAAAAGTTATTGTGACCTATGGCTCCACTTGGAATGATCCTTCTGTGTAAGGTCCACATGATTAATAACATGATTGATATTAACGTCTTTACAGAACCCCCCTGTCCCAATTCTTGAACGTTAAACCCGAGCCTTTGACATACGTACAACTCCCATTTGACCACCCAATATACATTCTCTATTCGTAAGTCCGAAGAGACCCTTTAGCAGTCGGGTTCCTAACATAGCATAGATCTGGAACAACCGGACCCCCCAAATGTGAGCTGTTACAAACATATCCTACTTGATTCATAGCTTCCACTGACCACGCCTCTGAAGGCATTTGCCACGCAGCAGGCGGTGCGCTGTTACAACAGAAGAAGGATTACATCCTCGGTTTCGACATGGGGCCTGACGATGTGTATTATCAATACACTACTGTATGTAAAAAGAGAAGTAGTTCGAGGAAATTACTGCTTACATACTGTTGACAGGTCGGTTGGATGATGTGGCATTATCTTGTGGGGGCTCTGAGCGTCGGCACTAGAGTGGTTCTTTACGACGGGAGCCCACTTCACCCAACACCCGTAGATCAAATCCATTTACTAGAAGAACAAGGGTGCGTTCATTTGAATATGATGAGGCCAAAGCTAACACGACAAGGATTACGCACTACGGCACGAGTCCCAAGTTTTTAGCTGCCCTCAAGCATCAGGGTGTAAATCCGATGCCCAAGTTGGACGGCTTGAAAATGACACTCTCAACAGGAGCACCACTTTCTGCTGAGATTTGTGACTGGTTCCACAATGTTTTTCCAAAGCATGTGGGCCTAACTAGCGGTTCTGGTGGAACTGATCTTGTAGCTGGCAGTGAGTCAATGTCTATGAACGAGTACATGATACCTTAAGGCTTACATGAAAAGTTGTCGGAGGCACTCCACTTCTGCCTGCCCATCGTGGGGAATTGGCCGCCTCGATTCTGGGAATGAAGGTGGAGATCTGGGATTTGGATGGCAATAATATCGAAGATACAGGTGAAAAGGGTGATCTTGTTGTAACAAAGCCTTTCTTCAGCATGCCTATCACCTTCTGGGGTGACGGCGGAGAAGAGAAGTATAGAAAGGCGTATTTTGATACATTCCCCGGTATCTGGCATCACGGCGATTATATCCGTAAAAATCTGAAGACCCAAGGCTATGAGATTCTTGGTCGCAGTGACGGCGTTCTGAATCCAGGAGGTAAGCAATTAAGCTCGAGTTTCTGACGACATCGTTAAACTCACCACTTCTTTCAGGTGTGCGATTCGGAACAGCTGAGTTGTACGGCATCATCGACAAATTCCCCCAAGTTCAGGATTACATCGCGGTAGGACAACGTCGCCCCAAGGACTCTGATGAGCAGGTCTTGATGTTCCTAAAAATGAAAAAAGGGCGGTTGAGCCAAGATCTTCGTGAAAGCATCCAAAATGCTGTTCGACAACAACTCAGCCCTAGACATGTACCGGCACACATACTCGAAGTCAATGATATCCCATACACTATGAACGGCAAGCGTATCGAGGCTTTGGTCCGAGAAGTCGTTTGTGGCAGAACGCCAAAGGTTGGCGGTATGGCAGTCAACCCGGAGTCGCTGGAGGAATACAAAAAATTTGTCGACCTACCTACCACTGCTGCTCGCGCGAAGCTGTGATACACTTACTAATATGTCTGGATCCTTGGATAATATTGAACGCTCTTCTGCAACGGATCAAAATATCCAGACGTTTGGGACTGTCATCGTCGTGTATACCACCATACTCGGAGACGAGACAAGCGGAATGACATCCATTTCCGTCCTCAAAAGTGAACTCTCTCCGCTCTAAGTCTAGCCATGAGTGCCGAGTGAGCAACTCTAAGCTCCATCTGACTTGGACTGAGCTTGGGCTAAGCTGTAGGAGCTGGCCTACTTTTAGAATCTCATACCTCTGTAATAACCTATATAAAGGCCCTCTATAAAGCCCTGGGGTTTAGAGCTAGGATTACAGCCCTATGTTTAGCCTCGGTTAGAGTCTCTATAGTCAAAATTATCTATGATATGACTGAAATTGTGTCGTAGCTACTTTATGACTCATCTTAATTGTTGAAAATAATGTGATTTATCTCTTATAGTGTGGAAAATAGTATATAGGTTAAGTTTGTAATTAATTTTGTAGTCTAATCCACAGCGTTATTGCAAAGATAGAAGAAATCTGCATACTGTAATAGAAAGGAAATATCATGATTATCTGTCTCGTATTCTTGAAATAATATTGCCTTCTGTTGTAAATAATAATATCAAACCTTCTCTAGAGCAACTTCTCATCCCGCTCATGTACTATCATAGTTGATCCCTATACATGACTCAAAATACGGTACCAGATAACAATCAGTCTTGATGCTCGTTCGCATCGAAACGAGTTGCAAATTCGTTTAGCGCTGTCTGAATTCGAATCTGGTGATACAACTTCTTTTCCGCCTTGGAGCTCGATTCATACAAGCACCTGGCCAATACATTGTCATGAACGTAGGTAGAGGCATGGACAGCTCCAAGTTGATCTTTGTCAGCCCAATTGTGTTTGGCTTCAGTGTGGCTGCTTCTGTCAGTTCTATCTCGGGCAGCGAGCTACGAGTTGTCTTACCTATTCATAGTCTCTGTACTGTTAATTGTGCATTTGCTTGACATGATGATAATTCGAAGGCGCTGAAGAAGCGTCTCTACTAGGATAGACGACGTGTCCGAATTACCAGTTGTGTTGAGAACTCAGCGGGAGCGCTGTACCCATTTGTTGTTCAAAAGAAGCTTCGAGCTCAATAGATACATTGTTTCCAAGTATTGTAAAATTATGAACTTATGTATAACTGTGTCAACGCGTCAAAAAGATAGATTTACGCACATGTCACCAGTCCATCAACGCACGGCATTCTACTGGGAAAGGCGCGCTTGCGCTCTTGCCTTGTTCCTTTCTCTGTCCTTACTTCTTTACTTCGATTTTAGGAGCCTGTCTATGCTTGTAGGCTAAAAGATCTTTTAATTCGTCTCTCCCGAACGCCGGAATTGACAGGATCCGCCTTGACCAGTAGGAAGCGCATCTGCTTCGCCACGAATGCATGCATGCATGCATGCAAACTACCCAGTTTGGCATCATCAGAAGGGCACAGCGGCGCCCTAAGTTGGTTTCCATCTCCTCCCCGTCCTTCATCCCGGTCGTCCCTCCAGGATGTCTAGTGTGGTTCGAATTGTTCACTACCCATGTCATTTTTTTTACAATAATTCTGGGGTTCCATTTACAATTGAAAATGGTCACCTTGAATGGCTCTTCATCTCCCAAACATCGCCTTTCCCCAGATCCAGCATTCCAGTTTCCTAGCACGGGCGAAAATCGAGGAAATCCCGTGTCGGGCCGTAATTTCGAGCGCCAGAGCAACGGGGTCTTCCCCCTCAAGCCCACCTGTTTCAGCAGCAAACCACCGACCTTTAAGGCCGTATTCTCGAAATGGATACCTCAGACGGCCCTCCTGGCAGTCCTTTCCGCAAATTCGCCAATGATCTCAGCGGCCAGTAGAGGAATGAGAGGCTCCGGCGGAGTAGAACCAGCTGCGCAAGCAAGACACATAGTGATACCGTCCTCATTCGAATTTAAGCCGGCGCCAGATGACCGAAATGACTCTCCACCGACCCGCTCAACGTCTGGTCATAACGAGGCATACATTGCTACGTTGTCGCTCAAGTCGGACGATTCAACGGAAGAAGCCAAATCGCCTCAATCACAGCATGGCGATGCCGTATGCCAGACAAATGTTCCCACAAAGCCTTGTCTGTTCGATAAACCCGAGTGTTTCCATGAGATATCCGATACCCACAAGATCGAAACAAGAGCAGATCGTGCCGAATTGGCCGGGCCCCAATCTGAAATACAGCCAGCAAAGGTTAGTGACTACAGAGAATAGTCTCTCCAGAGTAGACCTTGTTGTATCTCAATGCTTAAACATAATAACAGCTTTCTGAGTCTGAAAGTGCCTCCTTTTTTTACCACTCGGAAGACGTGGAACCAAAGAACGTACCTCAAAACACATTGGATAGTATCAGCCACATTCTAGGCTCTAATATCTCAAGCTCAGTCTCCGTAGGGGAGAATGAGGTGAGACACGTAAAACAAGATGCGAGCCAGAACACTTCCCACGGAAACTTTTCCGATGTATGGGACGAAGATAGACCGAGTGCTTTTCCACACGGGGCTACAGAAGTGGATGCGAAGAGGTATGGCATCCCTGCCGGATACTCTCTCAAGTATTGGAACCCAGAGGAAGAGCCCATCGTACTGTTAAGGTGTGTTTTCGACGCTGCGTCTTTGGGTGGATGTATCCACCGGTGGACAGTCCAACACTATGGCAAAATGACCCCAATCGCTGGAATGGCAGAAGAGCTCCATCGCCTTCTTCTAGAGTTGTCGACAAAATTAAAGCTGGCTGCTGATTCCGTAACTTGCGTAGCGGGCGTGGACGATAGCAGCATGCTGAAAGACTTCCTTGATGCTGGGAATCGACTCACTGACAGGCTCTACTCTCTGCTAGAACACTGTGAGAGCCCTATTTTGAAAGCCGCCAAGGTCCGCAGGTCTGTTCACATGATAGAAGAGTCGGGGGCTGCACTTGTTCAGGCAATATTCGGGCATGATCAGGAGCTGGACCGGACCGAGCAGCTGATGGCTTCCATTCGACTTTGGTCCTTTCGATTTGATGTGAATTGTCAAGACATTCTTCGGTCGATTCAATCCACGTCAAAATCAGTGCCGGTCTCAGGCTTTGAGAATAGCGAAGATCCACTCAGCCAGATTGATCATTTCAAGTCATCTCCACTACTGGAACGGGAAAACTTGAGTTCGGCGGAAAGCATGGACGACGACATCACGGAAGTCACCACGTCAGATCTCTCCTATATGTCGGACGACTTTGGCGAAGCAGACTTGGGCGATGGTCACTCATTCCTTGACGAGCTCCCGGGTCTGATTGAGCTGGTCCTTGAAAAGCTAGAGATGTGGTGCGCCGACAGGCGGCGAGAGGGCTCTTCGGAGTCTCCAGAAGCCAGGAACCCAGGCAATTCCACCGAACCATCGCCAGAGCAGCGGCCACCAAAGAGAGACAGAGCATCAGATAATGGGACGGGCTTTGGCGACGATGGACGGCTAAGCACCACAAGGCAAGGCAAGAAGACGAAACGTGACGACTCGGAGAAGAGGTTACTGCTTGCCTGTCCGTTTTACAAAAAAGACAAGCTACGACACAAGGGCTGCCTTCGGTATCAGTTGGTGAGGATTAAGGATGTCAAACAACATCTCTGCCGTCGTCATATGCAACCGCAATTCTGCCCCTTGTGCGGCCTCGAGTTTGAGAGTCAGAGCGAACAGAGAGAACACATCAGACTCCAGCTTTGCATGAGGCGGGAGATTGATGAGCCGGAAGGCATCACGGAAGATCAAAAGAAAGCTCTCTCTACCAGGGTCGGAAGGACTATGACACTGGAACAGCAGTGGTACGCCGTCTGGGATGTGGTATTTCCCGATATCGAGCGTCCTTCTTCTGTCTACGTGCAATCCGAGATCGTAGAGACCCTTTGCAATTTTCAGGAGTTCTTCAGCCAGCACGGGCAGACGCTGATTGCCGATAGACTCCGGTCTCGGGAATTGCCGTACAACATGCCTAACGAGGAGAGGGATCTGGCCGCCCTTCTTGCAATGACGGCAGCAGAAGCTGTGGACACTCTGATTGAGCGATACACTAGTTCAATCGTCGCTTCGGCATCTGATGAGGAAGACACAACCCCGCCAACTCTGGTCGACGACGAGAGTGCCACTCAGAACGGCCCAGGATCCATTGATCAGCATACGCAGCACTTAGTCCCGAAAGACATGCCCGAGCTGCTACCACTATCGGTGTCAGGAAATGCGTCTAAAGACCAAGCGTGGGAGTATGATGAATCTGTTGGTAACCAAGGTCCTCCCGAAAATGACCTGGCGTGGACTAGAACAGAAGATTTGAATTTGGGCTTCGATACGTATCTTGACTTGATAACTCTTGGTACCATTAATGAATAAATGGAGTAGTGGAGACGTAAATAAATGTTAACAAATCCCAAAGACAAGAAAAATAGTCGTGGCACTTCGGACATGAAATATATTATGACCTCTTTACTTTAGTATATTCTCTTGAATAAACCCGTCTCACATTGGTTCATTACGGGCTAGCCGCCTTCCTCCCGTCATACTTTAACAGTCAAATTTAAAGGATACCTAAAATGGGCTATTATCTGCCAACTCAAAACATCTAGATCTGAAGAATTCTTACACCTAGAGTCTACTAACTCTATATATCAGAGCGTACATGTACGACTTGCCTATCTAGGTACCCAAAAGTCAAATTTGATAATACAGGCTAAGGCAACCTCTGGGTTAGAGATGCCCATAGCCACAATAGCATTTAGACAGACATACATAAAAGTCCTAAAGCTCAAGTGTCTAGAGATAAGATTAAGAGACTATTTTAGTGTCTCTTAAAGAAAGTGTGACTAGGGACTGATCTAGGCTGAGTTAGTCTAATGAAGACTGAATAAGAACTGAGCCGAAGTTGAGCCAGGTAGCGAAGAGGTCTCGAGAGTGGCCAGTGGTACTGACTTTGGAAGTCGTTTGAGGTTCGTCTTAGGACACTATATCCTATAAACTCTAGCGTAATTTGATCGCATTGGGACTCTGCAAGATTTAGACTTTGTCCAAGCACGAGATCATAAACATAGTGATTTGAATTTGCAGTTCAAAAGATGTTACCCTAATTCTAAACAAGGATATGAGCTGCTATTTTGAGATCAATGCCAATAGTATGTGATAGTGTCACGCGAAACCTTTCGACTTGATGCTATGCATAATCTGATCCAAGGCTATGGGACTTCATGCAATAGAAGAATGAGCATTGTCAACCAACATCTGAACATACTCATCAAACCACGCACCAGCTCTAGGAGCACCCTCCATCCCGCATTGCCCGTCGCTTTCGCCACCAGGCTTGATCCACACAATGCTGTCGATGAGTGTGTTATTGACCGGAGTGCCAGGTTTGATGCCAAAGCCAGCAGGAGACACATTGCACCACTCGCCCCATTCTTTGCGAGATCCCGCCAAGGCGACGCGCCCCTGATCAATAATGAATCGTGTAGGCAGCCCTTCCTCCTCCAGGTGTGGCGCAAGAGAGGATGCATAATGGGATTCATCCCATGAATTGCTATACTCTGTGAAGTTCTCTCTTGGGTTCGCGTTGAATGGGTTGTAGTTGGAGACATTGGTAGAAAATCCGCGAATCTTGGTGCTGTTGCCAGCCATCCGCACAACCTTTCCGAATAGTTTTGCGCCTTGTGCGTTTGTAAGTATTTTGAAGACTAGTCCATTAAGACAACTTACTCGGGGCCAAATTGTCATCCCAACCTAGCCATCCGCCATGAGCGGCGTCAATGTATAGATGAACGTGGTCGAATTGAAGTTGCGCAATAGCATAGGCAATGCCTTCTTCGTACACAGGAGCTGCTGCAGCACACTTCTCGACTGCCATATTGGTGACAAGGTTTGCCAGTGAATCCGGCTCCAAGACAATTGCGAAGGTGAGATCCGTCGCAGCGGCAACCTTTTCAGCATATGGTTTGATGTATTCCGTCTTATAGATCTCGAGCCCATTCTCCGAACTATTGAGCTCGCCTGCACTTTCTCCAGCGCTGCAGTCCCTATCAGGAAGATTATAGAGCACAAGACCGACGATCTGATCAACACCGCTGGCTTTCTTCTCTTCTCGAGCTGCAGCAACGGCGTCGTCGATATTCTTCAAGCCAGCACGATCCGAGACCCAGACGAATGTTCCGATGTCCTGGATCGATCGGACCTTTTGCGCATTCTGAGTGTCGCCCTTGGCCACAAATGCATCATATGTTTGATCCAGTTTCTGCGACCAAGCTGGATTGGCAAATAGCTTCTTACCGTCGAACGGACTGGCTGATGTGTTGCTTGATCGTTTCCAAGGTCGACCCCAAGAAGGCGCTGCAGCCACTGAGGTAGCAGCAACAAATGTTAACAATGCAAGCGCCTTCATCTTGAGGATATGAGAGCGATGCGAGGGTGCTAATTGTTACAGACAGAACGCCGAGTTGCACATTTACATCTTGCTAGAAGGCCCAAGGCAGGTTCAACTCTTATATGTTATCAAAGGCTGCTCTTCTGATATGGAGACGTGTCGTTTCTCGGCTCGGAAGCCGAGCAATAGAGAGCCAAAGTGCCCAGAAACTTGGATATCATCCTTTGCCTACTCTTTGTCATGCTCGCTATGTTTACGACCGCGGAAGATGGACAGGTTTTGTCAAAAAATGATATTGTTGCAACAGCCACTTTATGAACATGGATCCCGGAGGCTGCTGTGCCGGCTACAGAATCTTGGCTGTTCTTGTAGTCACCAATCTACCTGGGTGCAACCTTTATGCGACAAGATATTTGCGGGAGAACACACGAAATGGGTAAGAAAGCCAAGACCTGCTGCCCGGTTTGGAAGTCTCGGTTGGTGCTCCGAGCCGTTCTATGGAGAGCCTCATGCAACTGTAATCAATCTGTGGCAAAGACCGTTGCCCATTGAGCGCGTGCAGCCCAAGGCGCAATGTAGATCATGTTCGTAGTTCAATATTCTTGGAGGCCCGGCCCAAGCCAAACTCAGAAGCAGGTTGCATCCTTTTTTGGTGCAATTATGTAACAGATTTTGCAACCGGACTTTGACAGACAAAGTTGCAAATAGACAATTGGTGCACTTCTGACCTTCGCACATAGTGTAGCCACGACCCTATTGACCGACCCAAATAGAATTGCACTAAGACGTTATGGGCAATGTTATACGATCCTTACAGCAAGAGGTCAGCTTTGGGGCTCGACTAGACAGAACTTTAGGCACATACTGCGCCTTGATTGGCTGTTGAATGGACAGCCCGGGTAATCCTGTTTACTCTGTAAGTTGATCCTTCGGGCAGCTCGCTCTTCACTTCGCATCGATCGTGTCTATTTGTAAAGAATAATACATATATAAGGTGTCACGAACCCGGTCTGAACCATGGACGACAACTAATGTCCCAGTTATCTGTCTACAAGAGACGACGACATGATGGGAAGCAAGCCAGTTATAGTCATTGTAACTGGGGCGTTTCATAGGCCATCCCATTACGACGCAGTCATCAGGCCGCTGCAAGAGAAAGGCTTCCAAGTGCTGGTCCCAATTCTCAGCACCGGCAATGGCGATCCCGAGATGACCCATCTCGACGATGTCAAAGCAATCCACTCAGACCTCTTACCTCTTCTTGATGAAGGGAACGAAGCAGTCATCGTCTCACATAGCTATGGTAGCCTCCCGGCGTCTCATAGCATCGAGAACCAAACACTCAGCGAACGAGCTGCACGAGGCTTGAAGGGCGGGATCAAACATTACATCTGTGTCACTGGAATGGCATATCCTGCAAAGGGTAAAAGCTTTATGGGTGACGAATCTGAATTCCCTGCAATGCCATATCATCGGGTTGAAGTAGGTCTGCGATTTGTCACAATCCCCGATCGATTGGCTTAGAAGTTTACAGAATGGTCTCACTTATCTCCTGGAAGCTGCGAAGCCAGTGTTCTACAACGATATAGCACCAGAGGAGGTAGACAAGATCTGGCCCACATTGAATCCAATCCATAGTAGGAAGGCATTCACCACTTTCCCTTCTTTTATAGATGCAGAGATACAGAGCCCTAAAACATGGGTCTTCTGCGAGAATGACGTAGCTATCACACCAGAGTATCAGGAGTATTCGATCAAGAACGGGGAGTACAAGGATGTCATACGGGTTCCTTCAGGACATTCCCCGTTTGTCAAAGTTCCTGACAGGCTGGTTGAGATCATCACAGAGATTGCTGATAGAGATTGACTTTGAAGCCATTTGGGAGCTGCTGTATAGCGACATAAATTGTGGTCTTTATATATGCATTCTCATATCCGGGTGTCTTCTTGTGGTAACAAACTAGATAACGCAGCCAGCAAGAAGCCAGTCAAGTTGCATGTGAAGCCATTCTGAATCTTTAGGCCGCAGACAGCCCTGCTTCCGCCTCTATCTCCTCCTTGCTTGGAGACCACTTATCCTGCAAATCCTTATCAAGACTCTGAGCAATGACATCCTTGGGCCACCACTCGCCCCAACTAGTCAAGAAGATCTGGTCGGGATCCTCGGGGTAGTCATCACGGGTGAAAGCGCGGAGGATGCTTTCCGCGCCCGTGGCAATGGGCTTGGCATCGGGCATGTCCATGGTCGGCTTGAAGCTGCCGTGTCTGCCCAGACCAGTGCCGGGGATCAGACCCGGGGACACGGCGACCACGACGTTGGTTCCCTTGAGCTGGCGCCGCCACCAATGAGCGCCGAGCAACTGCGCGAACTTGGTCTCGCAGTAGACGACGGTGTCCTTTGTGTCGGCACCTGTCTGTAGATCTTTCTCAAGGACACCTGCCGGAGGGTCAGTACACTCGTCAGCTTGAATCGACTGCCGAACTCACTGGTGTCTGGGACGTTGCGCACTGCGCCGGATGACACTACAACGATGCGCGTCTGGTCCTTGACCAGCTTCTCACGGAGTAAATGGATAAGATAGTGTTGCGCTACAATTTTGAATCAGCGGATGAGTCCTTATGATATGTAGTGTGGATGTAGATATTCCGCACACAGGTGGTTGACAACATATGGCTCGCACCATTTTGATGGGTTGGTGGCGGGGACAGAGGCCGGCTTGATGGTGCCAGCATTCAACAGCAAGTAATCAATCTTGCTCTGCCCGAGCTTGGCCAGCGTCTTCTGCGCGAAAGACTTGACATTTCCCAGATCCGCCAGCTCGAGCGGCAGAAGGCTCAGGTTGTGCTTGCTGGAGTCGTACTTCAGCCCATCGAGCGCGCCCTGAAGACGCGAAGTGTCTCTGGCTCCGAGAATGAATCTGTAGGGCTGAGCCTGCTCCAGGAGCTGCTTTATGGCTTCGAACCCCTGTCTGGACTGTGAGCATGTACTATGGAAGATGCGAAAAGCGAAGAACAATTACCCACCAAGCCTGAAGAGCAGCCCGTTGCCACAATTGTCTTTGCAATGCTAGCCATGGTCACGCAATTTCGATGATGAAAGACGAAACACCCAAAAGGAACTCGATGTCCATTCAGCTGGCCGTTTGGCAGGTCGAGTTTGTAGTGGATTTAAGGCGACGGAAGCCCGCCAAAGACCGGCTGGATTTGTCATGACAGAGCTATCCAGCTATCCTGGGAGCTACCTAATTTCTGACAGGGCGGATCTCGGGCGGGCAAAGACCGACGCGCGGGTCAGATCCACCAGCAGATCTGAAGAGAGAACCTTATCGATTAGAAGGTTCTTAGATTCCTTTGCTTGTCGCTGAAGCACATGGGATTTGTTTTGTTTTTCTTGCAACCTCACCTCACGTCGTCATCGAAGACTTTGATGATGACGGATACTTGAAAGCTGGAGGCAGCGCATCCCGCAGTCTACTGCTCTTCCCAACGCGACATGGCATGTTCGCTTCGAGAAAGAACCATGATGCCACAGCAAGGCCGCCATCAGCAACCTCGCTGCGGTCAGCATAACGTTTTCCCAGAAACATTTGCAGAAATAAGCACAGACGAAGCATTTGCCTGATTGAGCAACCATAGCCTTACTGACCAATCTTGACTCGTCGCGCGTATCTCGCTGTCACACAGGCCCGATGTTTACGAGGGTCAGGCTGCACTTGCGAAACGTCAGCAGCAAACACACTACCCATCACCTTTTCTCACGGATGCATCGCACACTCAATGGAACGAGAACGATTGCATTCGATCTATTATGTATGATCAGGTAAGTGTGCATACTCCAAGCATTTTCCTTAGTTTGTTCAATTGCCCCCAACTCCGAGAGTGTTGCCTCATATATGCGACCCTGCCATACCGAAGAGCATCACGCGTGAATCGCTTGCTGAACATGCGGATACACCTGCACCATCTGGTGATACAAGTCGGGATGTTCTCTGATCATGACTTCTGGATCCCACGCCGCTGCCACGAATATAGTGTCGATGCCGCTGCTCAATGGCGTCGTAAAGACGTTGCAGATTTGCAGCCCGATGAGGAACGCAAAAGCAACCACCACGGGTGTGTATCCCCCATCATCATTGTAGGCCGGCTTGGTGAAAAGCAGGTAGAGGTATGCTAGCAAACCGCAGGCGTACCCAACAAAGGTAGCGCCCATACTGAAGACGGGGCCAATGAGACATTCGTTGACCAACGCATCGATGCCGCGGTCTTTTATGAGTCTGATACCGAAGCGTTAGAGAGAAGACATCGAGAACTAGGCATGTAAGGAATACTCCATCCAGTGATTACGTACCTCCAAGTGTCTTTGGCAGCTGCAAAATATGGCTTGCCGTACAAAGCAATGTGAGAGAATGCATAACGGTTGACGAATTCAACGGCCCATTGAAGAACCGAGATAATGCAGCCCAGAATGCAAAACAGTATCGTACCCACGATATTCCCTTCCTGGCTGCTCTGTTGGCGCGCAATGGAGCAGATTTGTCGTAGCAGGTTGATAAGCGCAACGATGAGACTTCCAAGACTGATCGAACCGAAGCTATACGTCAAAGACCGCTTCAATGCGCCCCGGGTAACCTTGGTTGGATAGTTATTGGCAGAGAAGTACCAAGATCCGTATATGCCTGAAACAGTGGTATGAATGGTGTTCTTCAGCCATTCGGAGAACCAGTACGCCGCAAATGTGATGAATACAATGAGACCGATGACCTTGCCGTTACTGCACCCACCAGCTCCTTGCTGGCATGCAGGATTGTTGGAGCTCGGCGAGTATTTGACATAGACAGCTGTGAGAGTGACAGAGAAGTATGCGGCAAAAGCCGCGCCGATTAGACCGCCAATGAGGCTAACCCACCATACATGTCCATGATGCTTCGCAATATCAACAGAAGTGCGCAGCATGAGAGCGCTAAAAGGAATGCGCGGGATCCAGCTGATGAAACAGAAGATCAGGAAGGCGACAAAGATGAGGAAAACGATTCCACCAGAGTAGTAGTGGCGAATGAGCATCCACACCGCGGTGACCAGCCCGAAGACGATATTCAAGATGCCGGTGACCCATATAAACTGTTTGGGGAAGGCGCGCGCAAGGGAGACATAGATGTAGCTCAGCACAAATGCCATGCCAAGACAAAAGGCGAAGAGAATGATCGTGCTCGTGTTTAGACCAAAGGTATTGTCGTCGCCGTCATAGATGCCACTGCCGTTGGTACTCCTCGTTGCCGCTGTTCGAAGTAATCGTCAGCTATTGAGACTGTTGCTGTTGAGCCAATGAAATACTGTAACATACCATAGCCTTGAATAGCAATGCCAGAGACGGCAACAAAACCGCCCATTGTCAAGATGAACTGTGGGAGATTTTGTCAGATGAAATGTCAAGGTCGACGGGGATTGCGCCAAGAGAGCTCACCAAGATGCCTGCCCATAGGTCGTTCCATTTGGGCTTCTCTACCTTGAAGGCCTGGTCGAACGAAACCTTCTCGTTGCCATAGTTCGTGGGGCCATAGCCATTCTGCGGCGGCGGCGGCGGGCCCTGAGGTGGAGGGTACTGGGGCTGATTTGAAAACGGCTGCTGCTGATACTGTTGCTGATATGGCTGTTGTTGATACGGTGCGCCGCCATTATTATAATAGCCGCCTTGCTGAGGAGGGGGAGGTTGCTGCTGGTAATATCCGTTGGAGGCCATCGTCGAATTGTGTCACTAGGCTGATTGCCCCGTCAACTCGATGCGAGACTCGAATGCGCCGGCGAGGCGTTGTCGATCGTGTTGATCCGCTGTGTATTATGCGACTGTGCCAGGGATCGATCCCCCAACTGTTTAGCACCTAGACGTCCAAAAACGCGTAGTCGTTTCAATGGTTTGGTGCTGGCGATGGTCGTTGTATGACAAAAATGACAGCGACGATGCCAGAACTTGGTGGAGAGGACAGAGATTTCCTTCCAAGAATCGCCAATGAATGAGGTGGATGTTGTTTGTCTCGGCGCACGGCAATCGGCACATGTCAAAGGTGAAGAGCTGGACTGGGGAGAGTGGGCAGGAGCTAGCTCAGGAAGGTGCTACCTATGACTTCATCACATTCGCTGTTTCCAGCTGTAATAACAATAAGGTAGTGTCCGTGCCAACCCAAGCTCAGCTGAGCTCCTGCCCGCCGGCAATGCTTTCGGGGCGCTAATCCTAATCAATCCACACTACCAACCTTGAAACCCGCGTTCCCAGATCGCCAGCTGCTATCGCTTGTGGACGGCTCGGCAGATCTGTCGATTGCTCCAGCCCAGAAGGAGGCTTATGCAAAAGCCAGTCATTCCTCTACTCACTCTTTACGTTTGCTTCAAAATGTCCGGCCAGTAGAGCCTCATCGACTTCATTCTCTTCTAATGATCAGCCCGCGCTTAGGGGTCCCTTTAATCACATACTGATGACAAGCGTATCCGCTGTCATTGCCTCAGTGCTGGTAGCCGTCTTTTTTCTTCTATGGCCACTGTCTATGATCTTTCTCTATTACTCATGCGTGGTTTTCATTTCTTTATTTTTGGTTTCTCGTGTCAACTTCAGAACATCGAACCTGATACCCAAACGTGAAAGAGCCATCATGTGTGCCCGAGCCTCCACGGCGTGTCTTAATTAGTAGCCCTGGCTGACTCCAGAGCCCAGCAACACTCTCAGCTCTCCCAATAGCATGAGCTCTTTCAAAGCGAACTTCATCTCGTATAACCTTGGGCTGACGGTCTGGATCTTTGCCGCTTCAGCGTTCCTGTACCTGAAAGTGCGCAAAGTTGTATTGAATTAGGCCATTGACTTTGCAAATCTCTCTAACAGTTTTTTAAGCGCAGATAGTCTGCGGGGCAATTTTCAAGGAATGACTAAAGAGGTGACACTGTACAGTCAATTCTTCAAGTAATCAAGCATACCACCAATGTAAACGTTTCATATTTGCGAATTAAACGACTACAGATCAGCTAGGTCGATTTGTGTGCGGGGATCCTGTGGTGTCATCTGCTACTGTTGTGATGCAACTGGCAGGGCTATCAATTGCAATGGCAACATCCTCTATGCGGTAAGCTCTGTTATCTATGGCGCAATACATCCCACGGATGAACCTTTGCAGGATATGCCCATCGACAATCCGATGATCTTCTTGGATACCGAGAACTAGAGTCGTACTAAGCATAATTGAACCATGTAGGCTGCATTTAGCACCGGCTGTCGCCGTACGATTACGCGTGAAGGATCTGGGGTACGGGGGATGAACAGAAACTATCTATACCCTTCTGGCCCTCCAAGACATACCAAGAAAATTGGCTTG